CTTGTCCTGTGATGAGGCTTACTCTTTCCTTGCCAAATGAAAATATAGTTACTGTTGAAGTTATGGAGGAAACCTTATTTTCGACATTAAAACTTCAGATTAGTGTTGAAGCCGGGCTGAATGTGGGTCAATTTCTCATAGCAAAGGATGGCAATCTTTTAACTGGCTCTGATGAAGCAACTCTGAAAGATGTCGGGCTACATGATAATGATCTTCTTTTTATCGCACCAGATTTTGACAGACGTTTGGGATCATTAAGCGGACTGGTGGAAAATTCAATTGGGGTCTGTCCTGTCTGAACTAATATTTTAAGCTGAATCCTTCTTTGTTAGATAATTTAGACTTCTCAAGTATTCAACTTCCAAATTCTTCACGAGATGCTAACTCATGTGCGGCTGAATCGGCCCGACAAATGTTACTTCAAGCGTCCCCTTATCAAATTTCTGTGATAAGAGAGAGGAATCCTGAGTTAGCTGCAGCTATAGATAATCCGAGTAATTTCTAATCACCTGTTATTGAGTATTTTGAGATTGCGCTTTATATTTTATGGTTATTTTATTATTCTTTTTCTAGTGTATTTGTTTTCTTTCAGCGGAATTCGCTCAAGTGTATGAAGCTCAAAAACGACGAGCAAGGGAAACTGAAGCCGAATTAGAGCAACTTATGAGCGCTGACCAATTAAATCCAAATGTACAAACTCGCATCGCTGAACTTATTCAGTAGGCTCTTTATGATTTTTCTTTTTATTGCATTTAATTTTGCTCCTTAATATTCATATATCATCCAAGTTATATAAGTTAGTACTTACTTCTTCCATTTTGATTTCCCGTATATTTTTAGAACGAATTACCGGAATATCATTCCTAAATGTGATTTATAAATCGAATTAAATAATTTTTTTCAGACAGCGAAATATCGATGCGCAAATGGAGACCGCCCTCGAACATTACCCCGAAACATTTGGTCAAGTGACAATGCTCTATGTGCAGTGTCGCGTACAAGGTCATGAAATTAAAGCATTTGTAGATTCTGGAGCTCAGACCACAATCATGAGCGAGAATTGTGCAAGACGCTGTGGCTTGGATAGACTGATTGATAAACGCTGGGCCGGAAAAGCCTATGGAGTCGGGACCCAAGTTATTATTGGACGAGTCCATAACAGTTTAATTGAAATTGGAAATATATTTATCCCCGTGAGTTGTTTAGTTCGTTAAATATTTTATTTACCTGTTCCTTTTTTTGATACATCTCCATCTATATCCTTAATTTTATTCTTGTCCCTTAGCATGATTTATTAATATTATAGATTCACATTTAGTTGTACAGCCTTAATAATGGATCACTAAGCTTAATTTTGATGGCTATATTACCATATGAACTCTTTTCTTTGCATGCTCTCTTGATACCGGACTAATTTTCACTAGAATGAACTGCCACAGTGACTCATTAAAACTAGTTTTTAATCGATTTATTATTCATTGTCATGGCATCAACAGACCTCTTTTATAGTGCTACAAGACCAGCAG